ATAACTTTGTTCCAGGTTCTAAAGCCTTTCAGAAGCGATTGCAAAAGATGTCTCCTGCGCTTGGTATCTTTTGACTCTCAGGAATGTTGGACGTGTATTTTAGTTCCTTAGATATTGACAGCACTTGAAGGGGTTAAGAAAAGTCAGTAATCTACTTTATTGTTTATATCACTAAACGTGATAAGATAGCTGTTAAATAACTATCAGTCTATCACAGGGGTCACTTAGTGGCTCGCACAAGGACGTGATAAAGCATTAAAACCACATTGAAATTAAATCAGGCGTATTATCCTGTTAGCTTACGTGACCCTTAAGGCTCCACTTACTGCCCTTGCTTTGTGTTCAACTGTAAACATGCTATCTCAACAGAAATCTTAGAAATCTTCCAAGCGTCTGCTTCGCAGGCTAATAAGTTTGCTTTGATTCACAATAATTTTCTGGCGGCACTGGGGGGCGTCGAGTATTTTGTCCCGCTACGGCCATTTTGCACGTCTTGAAAACTGAAAATTTGGCATTTTTTTCGGCGCTGTAAAATGTTTGATTTGCACTATCTACCAATGCATTTTATACTTATTTATAGGTAAACGTCTGTAGTTTTTGCTGATGGAAATAGTTATCCGCTAAATTTAGCTGGCAAGACGAAATCAAGCAAAATATGACCCCAACTAATTGCCTTGGAGCGAAAGTTCAAAAACGACCCTGTTTTAAAAGGTTATTTATGACGTTTGGGACCTAGCTGAAAGCTCTAGACTAAATAGACTCAAAGATAGACCATCTGTTATTAATAAGATACAAAAACCCATGTGCGATTTCAGTATTTTAAAAGTTATGACCGTTTGTATCAACGCGTACGCTAGCTAGTACGATATTTTCAGAATTAGCGTAACAGATCTATCTCAAGCAGATTTTGTCAAAAGTACGGCTTACCTAATTCGTTCATTACTGGCACTGACTCACAGATTGAGCCATATTCTAATCCCTGGGTTGCTGGACTCCATAAAATTCAATTCCAGTAAATGTGGTCTAGAAACTGCTGGTATGCAGCTCTAAGTCAATTGCCCATGAGGCCGATTCGGGTCGAGGAATAATTGTTTTAGTAAAATCCAACTAGTTGGTCAAAAATATCGAGACAAAACAACTTTAGCTAGCAAAGCGCGATTCAGCAGCCATTGTTTTGGTTTTCAAAGCCGGCGTTTTTTTTTCTACTAGTGGGCTAACTTATAGCCTAGTATTAGCTCAACCAATTAGAACGCAGCATCGATAATAGACCACTAGTTTTTACCAAAACACTTTAGGTATCCGGTTGCTTTTCTGAGCGGCCGCTAAGGCCATCAACCAAGATGGTGGACGACAGGAATGGAGGTGTTTACCACAGGAATGAACAACTTCAGTGGGACATTTCCAGGCCATCATTCAGCTATTGGTTTCATACTGGTAAGTTAATACGACGAAATTTATTTCACGCCTCGGTGCGTGGAATTTAAGTAGCGGAGTGTTACCACGATTTCTTTGTTTTTTTCTTTTTTTAACGGCTGTTTACTTGAAAATCCCTGACAAAAAAGATGTGCGTAGGACCTCTCATAGATTTGCTCAAAAATACTGCTCAAAGGTCTGCGCAAATGGTAAAGGTGCCTCCCCAAAAAATGGGTCGGAAAATTGGCTTTTCAAGGGAAGCTAGGTTTGCCAAAGGCACCCACTCCAGGCGCCCACTCCAGGCTATTGTTTTGCACTGAATGACTCTAGCTGAAGTAAAGTCAAACCAAGTGAATCAAATGTATATCAAATAGGGACATTTGATATACAGGTAAAACTGCATTAAAACTTGGATTGTTTCAGAGTCATTCAGCAGTTGGCAGCCTCTTAGCCTTCTGCAAATATCCCTGATAGAGCTCTTTCGTAAGGAGGATGTTAGTTTCATATGGTGCCATTTTAACTATGGACTGCATACAGCGACTGCTATTCCTGACATATATGACAGAGACTCTCCTCAAACATTTTTGCTGACCTCAGTTAGTTTACACTCACAGTGGAACCAGTTTATCAAATTTATCCCCAAGTGACCCTTGATGTGATACCAAAGAAAGACTAGTAATTTGTCAGAAGTCATTTAGGGAATTTCTTCCGCATGCACTTGTCTTATTGGTTATAATTATTCATTCAAAATATTTTCCCAATTCTGATTGGCTAAAAGCACATGCATAATTCACCATAACAAGTTACTGATGACCAAATTTGGAAGAATTTTGTGTTTAACGAGGAAATGACGTCAAAAATGCAGCTTTCTACAGGTTAAGGCACCGTTAACCGAGAAGACCTGGGGACGAGATTGAGTTGTTTTCGTTGTAAAAACTAAAATGGCGGACACTTCACTCGTTTCAAGAGTAAAAACTACAGCTGGAACTAGGCGAAATAATGGCTAAAAACATAGCAAAACAGCAAGAAGACAACTCGGAGGGCGACTTCTACTATTTGGAGAATATTTGCGGAGCTGGACAAACCTAGACGTAAACTATCGAGGATAAACTTAACATCGATGCAGGTAAGCTTGTTTTAGCTATGTTTTTAAACTAGGAATTATTTGGAGTGAATAATAAAGAAATTATTGAATTGGGACTTTCGTATCATATGAAGAATTATGGAGATCTCGGAGGGTGTTATCCACCTTGGCCTACGGCCTCAACGGATAACACCCTCCTCGATCTCCATAATTCTTCATAAGGTACTCAGCCTCATTCATTAATTGTTAAATTATCAATATATTATCATTATCAATATCGTTTGTTATCATTGTCATTATAATGATAAGTCCTATTTTTATCATAAATATCATAATTCATGTTGTGATATTGCATTTCTTTCTCTAAACCAAATTCCAAACCATGAACCTTCAGTGTGCTTTAGTGAGGCTCAAAAAGTCTGCTCCATAGTTAAAGGACTGTCCTGCTTAAAATAATGCATTCTTCCATAGTGGTTCTTTCTTTTGGATCTGGTGGAGGTTGACATTACCTGGAATGTCACTGAGCTAATTAATCAGTGCCTTTCTCGCAATGAATCCTAATGTGCATTTGGCTACAGACTATACCTGTATTAATTTATTGCCACCTTTTGGTAATCTTTATTTCCAGGTATTTATGTTTGACTACATATACATTGATGGAAGTACAGATTTCTTTCAACAGCATATAATATTATTATATAGCCATGTGAATGAGAAGACACCTCATGTTTATTTTCTTGTTTGTTTTTGACAAAGATATCTGTTATTTCCCTAGCAGTGAGGATGGGAATACCATTCAGGATAGTGATGTTTCCCTTTTCCACTGCCTTGGGATCAAGTTCATAACCACTTTCATGGTGAGTGTAGGCACAGACTATTCATGTCACATTCTCTGCAGATCTGGCAGTGGACATAAGTTGCCACCAGGTATTTATTATTATTATTATTAGTGTTATTGTTGTTCTTGTTATCATCATCATCATCATCATTGTCATCATCATCACCATCACCACCACCACCACCACCACCATCATCATCACCACCAGCGTTACCACCACCACCACCACCACCACCACCATCGTCATCATCGTCATCATCATTGTCATCATCATCATCGCTATCATCATCGTGATCATCATCATCATTATGCTATAATGTTGTTAGCTTTATTGCTTTTGTTGTTGTTGCAGTTTTTTTTTCTGGGAGATAGATTTTCTGATCACTGCCATAGCAAACGTTTATAATAAGACTTACCTTGACAGAGCAGTAAGGACATCTCTTAATAAGCCGTTTCATGTACCGTAATAACAACTCGCGTGTACTCAATTTTTGACTTTCCATTAAACAAAACTCTCCTAGCAAAGTAAATGAAAACTAATGTGTGACTTCAGTAAAACCATGTGTTTTTGTGGTGTGCGTGAGCATTGAACGTTTGTTTCAGTCCCTACGTCCCGAAGATTTCTAGCACGCGTACGGTATCACAGAGAATTTGGCTGGCCCGAAGTTGAATTAACCAGTATAGCAGGCACATAGAACACGAGAAAGTAATTGGCAACATAAAGAACATTGCAGTAGTCAAAGAAAGAGGAACGACCCCTATGACCCTCTATCCCTGAAAACAACAGGCGGTGTGTTTTTAAAGGCCAGTGAAAACAATTAAAATTATTGGTTGCTGAGAGCTTTGTGGCAGTCCATTGCAAAATCCTCTACTTAAATTAAAGTTGCTGCATGCAACTGGCCTCAGGTGATTTTAAGCCTCAAATATGGTCATTGAATTGGCACTAACTCAATGGCGCGATGCCCAGTAAAAAGTCCAGAGGCATGGTCAGTATTGTCAGTAAATATTTTTAACGCAATTGCCGTGACCTTCTAGCCGCCATTTACTGCTGAGCAACCATGTTGTGGGCGCCAAGCAGTATCACCTGGAGCCCAGCCAGCTGTGCCCCCCGGCATGGCCCCAAAGACTGTTCTGCTTACCACATTGTGACGTTATCTGTGACCTGTTCCTAAAAAAGACACACGGCAACGTGGAACCTGAACGTGATGGATGTTGACTCGATCGTGTCCTCCTCAATTAACCTCTACTTCACTCTGTTTATATTGTTTCCATGTGCACAAACGGACAAAATCTTTTCACTTTTGTGGCGTTTTCCATACATGTATTGCCCGTATTGCGTAATTCAGTTTGGGCCAGGAGGAGGGTTACAAATAAGTGGCGGCATCTCAGACTCGTCACAAAAATGTGACGTTACAGACTCAACGTCAGTGACAACCTCATGTAACCTAGTCTTTCAGCTTATCCTTGCATTGTGGCTTATCCTTGCTGGAGTAATTACAGCATATATAATAACGCAAAATAATTAATGGTAACTTTTATTTCAGCGTTTTGAAGATTGCATGCAACCGTGCAAATAGAAAAACAGAAAGGCGAAAAGTATCAGACAAAGGAATTAAATTTGACAATTTTTTGGGAAAAAAAAAGGAGAACAAAGAAGAAAATTGACAGGACTTGATAGACCCCTGAAATAATTTTGCCAATTTCGATAACTTTGTTCCAGGTTCTAAAGCCTTTCAGAAGCGATTGCAAAAGATGTCTCCTGCGCGTGGTATCTTTTGACTCTCAGGAATGTTGGACGTGTATTTTAGTTCCTTAGATATTGACAGCACTTGAAGGGGTTAAGAAAAGTCAGTAATCTACTTTATTGTTTATATCACTAAACGTGATAAGATAGCGGCTAAATTACTAGCAGTCTATCACAGGGGTCACTTAGTGGCTCGCACAAGGACGTGATAAAGCATTAAAACCACCCAGAAATTGCGAAATTAAATCAGGGGTATTATCCTGTTAGCTTACGTGACCCTTAAGGCTCCACTTACTGCCCTTGCTTTGTGTTCAACTGTAAACACGCTATCTCAACAGAAATCTTACGAATTGAAATGGCTTTCAAATCATTTGCTCTCCTCATTATGTGTACGGGAATACGAATAGTTAAATTTCGAGTTGTTTGAATACAGACGAGCAAACTTCCATTTGCATGCAATGTTGCACGCGGATGCCAAGATCTTTGCATTTTTGTCAATCAAGGTTTAATTCTAACGTGACGCTGAATTCCTCTTTTGTTTTTCTTTGGTTACCAAACATAAGAGCTACTTAATAGCCACTGAATATCAACAAGGACATGACATTATCCTTGCATGGCGATATGTACTTACAGTTACTTAACTGGTGTTGAACTCCTATCAAAATGTTCGGGCTATGTAAACAGTATCAAATTAAGGGTGACAACGTTATATACTCGTAACCCGGTCTTTTTTTTGAAGAGGTCCCTAGATGTGACTTGCATCGGACGAGACGACAATTTTCGAACTTTGCCACAAGGCAATCTTTAACAACTAAATTGGATTTGACATTTACATCAAAATCACGTTGTCTCATTTTTAGTTTTTTAAGTTGTGCATTGAGCTGCGACTAAATTGAAATACAAAAGCCATTAAGAAGACGGGAGAAATTTTATCCGCAGAAGACCATCACGGTTGCATTTTGAGCTTAAGTATTTCGCTATACATCAAGCTCTTCAAATCTACGAACACTGGCTACTTCAAGATGAAAAAAGAAAACAAGAACATTTTATTAGTTGTGTTTTGGAAGTTAATTTCTGTTGCCTTTGCTTTAGGTAAGTCTACGTTACTGAATTCGAGTTGATCCGTTCCCAGTCAATTGCTGGCGTTGTCCGTTATTGTCTCAACGTTTTACTGGGAACTTCCAAGTACTAAGAAAACTGAAAAGGTGAAGAATCTATTATTTTGTTCTCAGGTGGACGTGTGACAAAGATAACCCCAACCTCTGGAAGTTTGCTGGGAGCGACGAGGTTAACAATTTACGGAGAAGGCAAGTTACAGACAGCAATTTCGATCTTATCTGCAATGGTCATTACTTATTGCACCTTTATTCGTGAAAGAGAGAGAGAGAGAGAGAGAGAGAAAGAGCTAGCCATCAGGGGTGAAACACTTCTGTCAAAAATTCCTTATTAAAATGACGAATTTAAGTTTTCCAGTTGTTGCGGTTTCAGATGCAACAGCATGTAGTTAGCTCTTGCATTGATTTAAACCGGTTAACAATAGAAATTTATCTTCAAGAGAAGTATCAGCTTTCCTTGTTTTCCTTGCTTCATATGCGTAAAAGCATGTTGGTTAACATCTGTTTTAAATGCTCCGCACTCGTTCATGGCCATTCCAATAACAGTTTATTTCGTCAGGAAAACTAATACGGTTCCATAGCTTCCGTTTAGGGTTTGGAATCAAAGCAATTAAAACTACGTTAACTGATGAGGGATTAGCGCATTTTTCATTTATTAATCTTTCTTGCAGAAGCTTGCCCATTTCATTTAGCGGCTTTTATCGCTTTTCCCTCGTTTTTGACTTGCAAGTGGGTTTCATCGATTACAACTGTCACCACGTTTCATCAAAAATAACCGCAGCAACGTTATGTTTTGCTGATCATCGTCTGAAAAGGTGAAGGGGTTTATTAACTTAAGGCTATACTGATGAGCCAATTTCATGCAGTGGAACGGAAATCAGTGTCCGGCGACTGTTGTCAGGATCAAATATGGTTTATGGAGCTAGCCCTATCTATGCGTACCCATTAATCCGGTGGTACATATTTTCAACCATGCCTTTTTCCCAGCTTTCCAAAGTTGTTGTAGTTTAGTCGGCATCTGAAGAACTGAGTCAGAACTATGCTTATAATTTGAGGTTTGAAAAGCAACATTGATCCTTTCTCTGGACCGTCGTGTAATAACAATTGAATTCACACGCTGGTACTGTTGCCGAGCTAGNAGAGAGAGAGAGAGAGAGAGAAAGAGCTAGCCATCAGGGGTGAAACACTTCTGTCAAAAATTCCTTATTAAAATGACGAATTTAAGTTTTCCAGTTGTTGCGGTTTCAGATGCAACAGCATGTAGTTAGCTCTTGCATTGATTTAAACCGGTTAACAATAGAAATTTATCTTCAAGAGAAGTATCAGCTTTCCTTGTTTTCCTTGCTTCATATGCGTAAAAGCATGTTGGTTAACATCTGTTTTAAATGCTCCGCACTCGTTCATGGCCATTCCAATAACAGTTTATTTCGTCAGGAAAACTAATACGGTTCCATAGCTTCCGTTTAGGGTTTGGAATCAAAGCAATTAAAACTACGTTAACTGATGAGGGATTAGCGCATTTTTCATTTATTAATCTTTCTTGCAGAAGCTTGCCCATTTCATTTAGCGGCTTTTATCGCTTTTCCCTCGTTTTTGACTTGCAAGTGGGTTTCATCGATTACAACTGTCACCACGTTTCATCAAAAATAACCGCAGCAACGTTATGTTTTGCTGATCATCGTCTGAAAAGGTGAAGGGGTTTATTAACTTAAGGCTATACTGATGAGCCAATTTCATGCAGTGGAACGGAAATCAGTGTCCGGCGACTGTTGTCAGGATCAAATATGGTTTATGGAGCTAGCCCTATCTATGCGTACCCATTAATCCGGTGGTACATATTTTCAACCATGCCTTTTTCCCAGCTTTCCAAAGTTGTTGTAGTTTAGTCGGCATCTGAAGAACTGAGTCAGAACTATGCTTATAATTTGAGGTTTGAAAAGCAACATTGATCCTTTCTCTGGACCGTCGTGTAATAACAATTGAATTCACACGCTGGTACTGTTGCCGAGCTAGTACTGAGTTTCCGCTACGAATATGTGTGCGTTTTTCATTTTCAGTTTGACTGTTTATTTCCTGGACGTCACGTACTGAAAAACTTTCAATTTCTACCTGAGATATATAAATAATTCTACAATGGCAAGCAGGCGTTCCTGTCGAAGGCAATGTTTATAAAGAACCAAGAATAGTAGTATTCTATCATTAAATGCCAAACATTAGCCGTATTAGTTTTGAGTGACTTAAGCAGATTCTCTTTTTACGGCTTACCGGCTGTTGTTTCACCTTTGTTCGTAAGTATCGTATGTTACCGATTACTATTTATAGTCTCTTCTCGGAAAGGTAGATGATGTCTGGCTTTCTACATTCATGCTAGAAACTACCTTGCCAAATTACCTTACTGAATTTTGTGATGGCAAAAAAATCGTGAAGTTTAGTACTCACTTGGTATCAAGTCAAATCGTAAGATCTCATACAAACTGTATTGTGTTAGTGAAAAAAAATAAATACTACGATCGCTATAAATAATCAGTGACAGATGAGACTTGCTAGCTATAATCAAGGTTATTCTTTTGCTAAACGTACGTATTTCAGTTTTCACTAG